AGACAGCATATTCATAACCATTTCATGTAATAACTGTGAGGGAGATTTCAGAGGCATGAAACTCTTCAGATGTCTGATTCCTAGCACCACTGCTGAGAGTCTTTAAGTTTCTCTAGCAACACCAAACCATTCTGAGTGGCTTTGTTTACATCTCAGTCTTTAATTATGTAGAATTTTCTAAAAAATCGGTAGAACTCCCCTTTAAGCCTAATATTGGACTAAATATAAGTATCAATGGAGAATTATCATTGGATTGTATTTTTTGTTTTGGCCTAGGTCTTCTCTGGATCTGAGAAACTTAGGCATGCTGAGTGCGATTTTCCCCTCAATAGTGCCTCATGATGCATTACCTGGAAACAAAAATGTTAAACCACAAAACCACAATGTTTCCTGAGACTATGATTGTGCCTTTAGAATCTTACATGCTTAACCCCTTAAATGATCAGGGCCTGGCAAAGGACCCAAAGTTTTGTTATAGAAGGTTGTAATAAAACTTTGGGCCCGCCGACAGACACTGACCATTTGGGGTTAAGCATGTGAGATTTTAATGGCCTGATTATAGTCTCGGGAAATATTAAGGTTTTTGCTGTAGTTGTTGAATAATAAGCCTTAGTGTAATAGGCCTGTGGTTTTAAGGGGTTAATTGGAATAGGCCACATATATAAGCATACACAGTTTGTTCATTTGTTCCAAGGAGCTGTGAAAAGTGAAACAGTAACCTTTTCCTACGAGAGCGAAGGAGTGCATTTCCACAGTGGCAAACTCCCCTCTATTTGTGGTGTTTTGAACCACACTAATGGAGTGTGTGATTTCAAGACTGCATGTGTCTTTTTTGTGAAGGCTGGCTGTGTTTGTGGTGGTGACCTCTATATAGTTTTTGCATTGGTTTTGCTCTGGAAAAAAACAGGATGTTGTAGATGGAAGATATGTGTGTGTGTGTGTGTATGTGTGTGTGTGCGTGTGCGTGTGTATGTGTGTGTATGTGTGTGTGTGTGGTGTGTGTGTGCGTGTGCATGTGCGTGTGTATGTGTGTGTGTGTGTGTGTGTGTGTGTGTGCGTGTGCGTGTGTATGTGTGTGTGTATGGTTGTTTTCATTAAAAAGCTACTACACCCTTATAGGGGCTGCTGTATTCCTGGCTGAGCCTCTGTTTGATAACTGATTTGGATGAAGCACTTTGTCATTTCCAAATGTGCATACTCTTCCAGATAGTAGAACAGAGGTTTTGCTATCAAAAATGATTGGTTCTGCTAACACACTTATTATACAACATGAACTGCAGTCTGTTTTACTTCACTGTCAACACCTGCACTTCTGCTGATCCTATGAAGGAGAGATGGTTCCTGGAAGAGATGTTCCACTCAATGGTGCATTTTACAGTTAAAGTTGTGTCTCAAGTTGTGTCTCAAGCGAAAGCATGGTTTTCAAAAGAATCGTAAGGCTTTTATTTTTAGATGTGTTTTTTCATAAATTAATTTTTGTTTTTTCTAAAAAAACAAACAAAAATGAATTATACATTATACATTAGTTTAATTTTTGTTTTGTTCTAAGTAATTCTGTATTTTGTTAATCTCTTTTCTTAAGAAGAATCTTTTCTTTTTAGACCTGTTTTTATGAATTTTGTTTTATTTTCTGTGAAGCACCTTGAGTTGATATTGTTAGGAAAAGTGCGCTATATGCATTTTTTATAGGATTTTAGGATGTAAGATACTATCACATATACTATCTCTCTCTCTCTCTCTCTCTCTCTCTCTCTATCCCTCTCTCTCTCTCTATATATATATATAGAGAGAGAGAGAGAGAGAGAGAGGGATAGAGAGAGAGAGAGAGAGAGAGAGAGAGAGATAGTATATGTGATAGTATCTTACATCCTAAAATCCTATATATATATATATGACATATATATATTATATATATATTATATGTATATATATATATGACATCACTGTCATATATATATATATATGACAGTGATGATATGAGATACATAAAAATATATATAGTTTGTGTGGTGTTGCTGTCATATAAATTTATCTAATTTATGTCTTTATAAATATATCTAATTTATGTCTTTATATTTATTTGTTAATTTATTAATTTTGTGGTAGATTTTTGTGGCTGGCATTTTTTTTATTTTGTGTAAATTATTTTGTTGTTCATTCTCCCTCTGATTCATTCTCTTGCTTTTGTACACTTAGGTGCTGTCCACTATCATCATCATTTGCTTCTCTTGCTCGTTGTATGGACGGTACATTGTAGTGGCTATTTATGAGTTGGTCTCCACCCTCATCATCTTCATCATTTTTGTCCTGGAGCTGCAGAGTACTTTCCGTTTCATAAACTTCCCATGGACAGTAAAATAAGACCACCAAATACACTTCTTACTTCATAGTTAACACACGTTTACCATTCTCAGAAGCTCTTTCAGATTCAGCTGAGTTTTCTGTCTTTACACACAAAAACGCATTTTGTTTGCGCACACAATTCACTGTTTGTTAAAAAAGAGTCTTGTGTTCTTTTGTGAGCTGAGAGAAGTGCAAGTCAGTTTAATTGATGCGTTCAAATGATGTCCTGTAGGACTTTTTCAGAGCAGCAAGCAGTTGCATCATCATCTTCATCATCTCTGTCGTATGTGTGGTCAGTTGGAGGACAGACAGTCCTCAGCTTACTGGAGGAGTGAGTATGTAATACTGACAGTTATTTTTTCTATAAACATAAACTACAAAAATCTAAAATCTGGCAGGATGTTAGCTGGTATGTTGCTCCTAGTCACTGTAAATGGCATTATTTATTTTTAGATCTGAAGCACCTCATAAGCCTGGTTTATAACTCACTCGCGCATGTTTAGCAGGCTGAAGATTCTCCAAAAGGGGGTGCAATTAGCACTCATATAACATTTGGTACTTTGCATCAATGACACTGTGGGCCAGATGTATGTACCAACGTATTTTCAATGTCTTACTCTGATCCACATGCAAAACAACCAACATGTAAGAGCATGTGCCATGTAATGCTTTAAATTCTGCCTTCACATGTTGGCAGAAGATGGATGACAGCAAACTGGATGTTCCATTGTTTTCAAAGGATCCACCAACATTTTGCTGCTGGCAACTTTTATGGAGACCTCAACTGTTGGAGGAGCGTTCGATTGAGAGTTCAATATTCCCAGCATTTGCCTTCGACAACAGCAGTAAAATAAACAGAATGTTGTGGGACCAATGGATGCAAAATATCTCGTTGTTGAATTCCGGATGAACCCAGTACTATGCAACTAAATTAAGAGTACATGGCATCCTCCTAACTGTAGTCCATCTTAAATAAACAATCTACACTGCTTAAGCTCCCCTCTTATAATCATCCATTTTCACCAAGAACACTATCACCATCCCAATGCTTGCATGGCTTCATGCTGCCATCGGTCGCGCTCTGACAGTGTACACTGGGCCCTGCATGCCCATGTTGGTGCTTTATATCGGCTCTCTATTTTTCCACTTTTTGACTGTGTCATTTCTGTGCCAGGTGTAGACTACACTAAAGTAACTCTAAATAGCTCTAAACAGTCCCCATTGTTTATGTTTAGGTTCATGTTTTTCTTTTGTTTTATTTCAAAGAGTGTTAAAGCTCATTGATTTCGGATGCAGTCTTTTTTTTTTTATTTAATTTTGTCTGTAAATTGTAAACTGTAAGCAATGCAAATAATTTGTGCTCAACCAACTTAAAGAGGATCAAGAAATTTAAAGAGGATGAATTGAAGATAAAAAAGTGGTTACAGTAAAACCACTAAATGAACTCGCATGATAAAAATGACCATTACATAGAACGATTCCTATTTTCTGAATGTGTTTAATAGAAGAAAATAAAGCACCATATACTGACATTAACAAAGGGAACTGCCACATCTAGGGAAGCAGCTGAGTAAGCACCTAAGACAGGGGTGTCAAACTCAACCAGTAAAAGGGCCATATTAAAAATCTCATCAAATCTGTGGGCCAGAGAAATAAATTTTTCATTTCATTTTTAATTAATGTTGTGCTATAACCCGAACTGGCCATTGTTTATTCAAAATACGCAAAAACTTCAACAGTAAAATACTGACACTTGTAGGAGACCTTGAAATATTTGAGATATTCTTGAGATATTCAAAATTTAAACGTCCTCAGGAACTCTGTCTTTTAAACCTATCTATCTGCTTGAACTAGACACCTAGAATCCTTTCTTTGCTGTGAGTTAATTAAGAATTGGGCTCAATTTCTGAGCTGCTGAGCTGAAGTTAAGTGTTTATATTAATTGAACTGCAGCTGAAATGCATTTTGGTGATATGACTGGTGTGGAATTGCGCAGAATTGTGTAGAACTGAAGTGTAACCGCAGTCCCATAGACTGTTGTTGGGGTAGGAGAGTCGGAGCGCATAACGTTGCAGTGCATGCTGGGGACTGTAGTGCAGGACATTGTGAAATGGGCTAGTAATAATAGAAAATTTAAACACTTTTGCGGGACGGATAGGATTGTGTGACGGGCCTGATCTGGCCCACGGGCCTTGTGTTTGACACAAAAAAGCCAATCAGAATCAGCCAAATTCTCAGTTAAGTTGTTAAATTATGTTTAAAATGTTAAATTGCACTCAAGTTGTAAATGTGTGAATGAAATTGAATGTGATCATGCAAGATGCAGTAGAATAGAACTCACAGGAGCACAACAACTACTAATGTGTTGATACAAGAGATGAACACCCAGTTTTAGAATTTAGAATTTTATATCATTTATTTGACAAACTGAAGACAAGCAAAGTACAAGAATGCAGTATTTTATCACAGTTGGAAAAAACCTTGTATCTCCCAAAAGGTAACTTTACAGGAGATGGAATTTTAATGAACGTTAGAGTCACAAGATGTTATTCTAAGTCAGTTTGAACCATTTTTATTTTTCCATTCATCATAACATTTTGACATAATGTAAAGGCCAACTGACATGTAAAAATGAAAAATGACAAAAATGGAGATCTGTTCTGAAAGGGACGATTTGTTAGCTAGTTAGTATTTTTATTTGTTAGTTATTTAACCTTTATTTGGTCAGATTTTCTTTTTTGCTATGTATTTATGCTAAAGTGCTTCTACTGTAGTATCCCATTCAAACTGTTTCTAAACCATCTTCATATCTCAGGTCTTTGGTCTACTGGCAGCACTAGTGTATGGCTACGATGCTTACATCATCATCACGGACATCAAGAGCAATAAAGATCAGCATCGTAATGTTCTGGGTAAGTTTTTGTTCTTTTAGGCCAGCAAAATCTAGCACATCTGCCCAAACCAAAAACACACATCAAACTAGTAGTGGGTGATATGTTGCTACAGATACTGGTGTCAAAACAATGCTGACTTTTAGTTTTGGCAGTATTGATTAGATAATACCTTAGTTAAGTGCAGTGTGCATTCTTCCATGTGCAAAACCAAATTAGTAACAAAAATGCTGTCAAAAGTTGAAGCAAGATCAGGGTCAACTTCTCACATGTAGAACTGTAAATGATAAAAGTTGATGATATTATAAGTCGACACTGTTCAAAGGTTTATAGGTTGCTAGGCTAAAAGCTACATCTTAGCTTTTAGTCTAGCAACCTACTGGGAGTTTTAGTAACTGATTAGTGTACCTGATAAAAATGACCAAAGATTGTAGCACAAGGTCGCTGGCAGCTCAGCTCAGTGTCATATTACACTTTTTTACTTTATTACTATATGAAAAAAAATTTCCCTTAACATGAGGTAACATGAGGACATGACTGGGAGGTCTGAAGTGGTGTGGCTAGGCTAACTATGAGTTTTTGTATATCATACTCTGACCAGAAAATATTCAACCTCACGTAGAAGATGAAGACTTCCATCTATTATTACACTTTTAGCTCTAACATTGGCTCATTTACTTATTTAACCAACAATGGCTAAAAGCTTTCTCTTCTCTTTTGCAATTCTAAAACTAAATGATTCTCAATGGTCTGTTTTGGTTCCAGGTCAGCTGGCTAAATTCTTTCCATAGAGTAAACAGCATAGCTAAATTAGGGTGACCAGAAGTCCCTCTTTTCGGGGACACTTTTTCGGCTGGAGCTGTAAATATCCCTGTTTTTAACTGTGAATTAAAAACACACTGAAAAGTCCTAAGAAAGACCTTGCAGCAGAACACATGGACAAACATCTCACATTGTGCTTGTTTTGGCCAACAGAGGTGTCTGTCTGCTGCTTCTGACTACCATTTGTTAACCTAGTTTTAGTTTGACCAGAAGCTAGCAAGTGTCAAGTGAGTCCACAACATCTCCACAAGCATCTTTTCAAGATATGATGTAACCCTGTCTTGTATGTATAGATGATTAAATAAACTGTATTGAAGTATTGTAGTTTGACCCTTTTCTTTATTGAGTGTTCCACAGTTTACCGTAGCTTCAAACACCATGATAGGCTACTGTGTGATTTTCTGACACGGTTTGCAAAGTTACTTAGTTAGTACTCAGTTTTATCAGTCAGCCTAATAGTTTATTACAGTACAACAGTTACGATGGTCAAAATACATGAAACTGGAACTGTCTTCCCTTTTTTATTTCACAGATCAAAATATTGGATATTTTAATGATGTATTAATTGCCAAACTGGAAATGTCCCATTTTCAAATCAGTAATCTTGTCACCTTAAGCTCAGTAACACATTTTGCTGTACTGTTACTCAGGCAAGCGTCAAGTTTTTCTGCAAGATTACGCAAGTACAACGTGCATGAGAGTTTGGGCTTAATGCGTCAGATATTTTTATTGTATGGCAACTATGTGAAACTGTACATTAGCTCAACTTAAATGTTCATCCAGATTTGGCCCACATTGATTTATCATGCCATTGTGCTATTTTATGGGTCATTCTACAGAAACGTCCACTTTTCTATCTCTCCATAGGTGTCACTGGTGTTACCAATCCTCATTGGTGTTACATATAAGAAAGGTAACACCAGTGACAGTAACACCATTTACAATTTTAATGAAAAATGCATTTTACAAAATGACTGCTACAGAGCATCAAACCACATGTCATCAGTCATGGAATATCCACTAAAATATGTAATTTAATCTATTTGTATTTATTTTTTAACAATTGTCTAAGAATAAAGTAGGTCATACCAGTGACGTCAACTAAAAGCTTCATATGAAATCATGAGCTAAATGAGAAATTTTCTGATAACTGAAAAGACACAGTGGACTTACTATGTGCTTTTTTTTTTCCTCAGAAAATAGGTAAAATGAAGTCAAGTGATGTCATCAGTGTGATTTTTATTTTAAAATAAGAGATTTTTTGTTACGCGGTAACACCAGTCACATGACTCCTGGGGACAACTACTTTCATTACATTTTTTATAATATTTATTTGGCATTTGTTTTCTTTAAGTAATTTAATTTATATATCCCATAGTCATGTATAGATTATTGTAGTTAAAATTGCAGAAACATGTTTTTTTCTTCAAAATATGGCACTCACCTTTTACACATGACTGTGGGGACAAGCACTTCTGTGGGAATTCTAGATAATTGATTTATAAACCAATACTGCATACTGCAATAAGAAGGTGTAATTGTTAAAGTAACTTATTGTTTTAGTTTAAAATATGAATAAATTGTAACCCTAACATGTTTTTCAAGTGTAATTTATCTGTAAACGCTAGGGACACAAAAATGGACGTTTCTGTAGAATGACCCTTATATAAAACTAGCAAAAAAGGCTACTCTGGAGATCTTAACTAGAGATTTTATATGAGAAATGATGCATTGTGAAAGTGAGTTGAATGATTTGGATATTGTGCACCTTTTGATAACATCCTGATGCTTTGATTAAATTCAGTTATGAATGCAACTAATTCTTTTTCTTGTGTTAGCATGTCCAGTATCTTCTGTGTGCAGCTCTGTTCATATTAAACCACTATATTAGCTAGAGTGAGCAATTGATATCCCACAAACTGCACTGGGAAATACTGAATAATGTGAGGTAAAATGAATACTGAATGAATATTCATAGAGCAAGTATTAAGTGCATAGTGGATGCTTTTGTTCACATCTTTTTTGCTTTTTCTTTCTCCCAATAGTTGTATCTGTCTGATGTTCCATGCAAGAATGGAAACAGTAATAATGTGGAACTGAAGATGCTGCAGTGGCTTGAGTGAAGGGGTGTGGGATAGCAGAACAGCATCAAATCCTCGTCTCAGAAAACTCCACAACAAAGGAACTATACATGCAATTACAGTGTTGTAAGTTCATGTATGTTTTAAAGACTGAAAATAATCAAACTCAGAGACCACCTTTTCATTTATCTAATTTCCAGTCAAAACGGCCATTAAAGCAGCACTAGCAGTGTTGAGTGTAGAGAAAAACTAAAAATTGAACATGCTAAACACATTAAAATGTGGTGTGTGTGCACCTCTTTGAGTTGCCCTGTAAAGCCTGAAATAGTGTTTTTTTTAGTCAAACAGAAGGTCCGGCTTGATTTACTTAAATGCAAAATCAACATTATACTGATAAAGATATGACAATCGTAGACAGTTCACTCACATGCTTGGGAGATATGTCCTTCACCAAGCTTTTCTACAAAAACTCTTTCAACGCACTCACAAACGTCTGATGCATCTGTGTGTGGGGGTCTGAAGTACAGTGTTACAAAATGTTCTTCTGCATGTTGCTTGCAATTCCACCAGAGAGGGCTCCAAATACCCAAATTCTACATAGTATTGCTTTAAGTACAAGTTATTCATGTACAAGTTATACATCAGCTTTTGGGGAAAAAAGTAGAAAACATATAGTTACCAGGCAATTATGTAGAAGCCTCAGCAACTAAACATGACATCAGTTTTTTCCAGTAATTAGTGTGTCCACCCTTTGTCTTTATTACAGTTTCCATTCTTTTTCTTGCTTTCAATTTTTTAAAGAACTCTGCACTCTATATTTTTCCATACTTCCAAAGTTCAGTCTAAGAAGGTGTTGCTTCTGCCACCGTGTTTCCTGCTTCTTACTATCTAAGTAATCCCAATTATAAATTCAGACTCATCAGTCCATAAAACCTTACTCCGCATCTCTGATGGTTAGTTTTGGTGTTTTAATGCAAATTTTCATTCATTTGTCTTTTAACTTTTTTTCAGTATCAGCTACTTGACAGCAACACATTCTTTTAGACTCCTAGTGTTGTGAGAGTCTTCTCACAGTGGAAGGATGGACAGAAAAACCTGTTGATTTTTTCAGATCTGAAGCAAGAGTGGAGCTTGATTTGGTGGTCTACTAAGAATTGAATAGTTGAGACCTGTTTTCTCTGTATCTTCAAATAAATAAACTACAGTTTTGGAAATTACTCTCCTCAGAATTATGTTCTTTAGCCACTTTAGATGAAAATGCCGCTTGTATAAATATTAGTGCCTTTTTAAGGAGAACGTAATGTCAGTGAACCTTTGGGAACATATTTTGCTGGAAGGAGATGTAAGTTGTGGCAGTAGAGAGGCCAAAAGTTCTTCCTGCTTTTTCTGACAATAATAAATGAAAAGCTTGCATGTGCTAATTGTTTTCACTGGAAATTAAATAAGTAAAATGATGTCTCTGACTTTTGCATGCTATTGTGTGTGCATGTGTGTGTGTGTGTGTGTGTGTGTGTGTGCTTTTCTCTTCTTTTTGTGTGATATGTGAGATTATCAGAATGTGCACTTAGTGTTTAAGATTTTGTATTTTAATATAAACAAGTTATCACAAAAAACATTTTTGTCATTATAAGACCCAAGAATTATACACCATCTATACCACACCACAAAGTAAAGAAAGACAAAATGTCCCAGGACAGCGTGTTACAGAGCCTGCTATGTTCCTAAACAATTACTCTCTTCACTTAACAATAACAACAACCTCATACAGTTTCAGTCAGTAGAAAACATATAAACATTGTACCAAAAACAAAGTAGAAAAACATCCCTTTTAATTGATCTCAACCCCATAAAATGATTTGGCATATTTTCAGTACATTGTAAACATCATAATAAAACATCACAGTTTATGGAGCTTGTCTGAGTTCCTGATCATCCCTCAGCTGTGTAGGGTCTGTAAACTGGTCTCCTCTTGGATAGATTGGTTGAGCTGTAAGATGTTCTACCCATGGTTGAGTTGTTGTCACAAAGTGGTCACCTGTTGACTTTGTAAACTTGGAGAATCGAGTGCAGTTCTGAAGTCCATTTTTAAGCTCAGACAGTTGGAGGGAATGATTGACCAGCGTGTTGTTGATCTGGGACAAGTATCCTTCTGAATGCTTGTCCAGTTCCCCTCGAATAAGCTCCAAGTCTTCAGCCAATTGAGCCAAGCCACCACACTGACCCTCCACACGGGCCACACGTCCCCCAACTTCGGTCACCTCTTTCTGGACACCAAGGGCAGTGGAGCGGCAGCCTTGAAGCTCCGCAGCCAGCCTTTGCCGCAGATCCTGCAGCTCGCCCTTCAGACGGGTCAGCCTCCTTTCTCCTGCCCCCAACATAGAGGCCTGTCGGCCAACCAGCTGCACAACACCTTTAACTTGCTGTGCTAGCCTCTCCTCGCGGTCCTGCCAAGTGAGGTTGACTTGTCCCACTTCTTCTACCACCTTCCCAAGTGTATCCTTCAGCCCACAAACGGTGCGGTTGACAGAGTGCACGCTCACCTTCAGCAGGGTCACCTCACCCTCAAGACCCTTCTCTTCCTGTCTTTCAGATAACTGAACAAGCAGCGAGTTCAGAGTGGCATTCAGATGGTCCAAACGTTTGGTCTGTGCATTAAGCTGTCCATTTAAGTCTTTGTGGTTTTCCTTGGTTTCCTCTTCTGTGGTTGGAAGTGGTGCAACAAATCCTGTTAGAACAGGTTGTGGGGCACAAGAAGAAGTGCAAAGAAGCTCCAGAGAGCTAAGCTGTTTTTGAAAGCGGTCCACATCCACTTCAACCCTTTTTCTGAGGGACTCGACTTCTGTCTCTAATGTGGGCACTGCCTGGCCTTCCAACAGAGCTGGAGCTGTGGCATTACCAAGTTCCTCTACTGCTGCAAAGAGACGACTTTCAAGGGCCTTCATTTTTTCTTCCAGGCATGCCTCAGGGTTAACAGATGTTCCACTACCAGCAGCTCCCAGTTGCTTCTCGGTCATGCTCAGCTTTTCTTCCACATAGCCCAGTCTACCCTCTATCATGCCCTCCATGTGGTCCTTGTGGCCTCCTAGTTCAGCTTGAAGGTGCACTTGGGACTGATTCAAACCTTCCATTGACTGCTCCAGCAGAATCAGCCTTTCAGTCAAGCCTGACACTGCAGTGCAGCAAGCTTCCGCAGGTTCCAGGCCTTGCAGCTGACCATGAAAATTTCCAAACTCCTTCCTCAAGGCCGCCACACTTCTATTTAGGACCTGCTCCAGCTGCTCCTGTCCCTCCATTAGCTCCTTCTTACACTGCAGACGCACTTCCATGGCCCGGCCCTCACACCGCTCTTCTGCATGCTCCACCCGCTTTTCAAAGCCTTCTAGGATGGCTACCCTTGCCTCACTAAGTTTTGAATCCACCAGTGTCTCTAGGGCTTGTGGAGAGCCTGTGAGGTTCACTGCTCCACTATTTAGCCTCTGCAAGGTCCCATTGTGGTCTAGGACTGTTCCTCTCAACTCTGCCAACTCTGTGCTTTTAGCTAATAGCTCTGTGCGAAGTGCTTCCACTTTTTCTGCCAGTTCACCCAAGCTTGGGAACTGCCCTACCATGTCCATGCCTTCGATATCAGGTGCCCCACCAGGCAGGTCTCCAAAACCAACAGTGGAGTGTTGAGATGTAGAAGCGACTGGGGCTGGAGCTGCAGACAGGAGGGCAGAGAGCATGCGATTGGCATCTTCCCGGAGGGAGGCACGTAGGTGGTCTTCTAAGCCAGTCACCTTACCACGAAGAGTCTCGAGACCAAGTGAGAGTCGCTGCACATCCTCCTCCATGCGGTTCAAGCGGTCAACTGTGGCACTGTCTTCTTCAGTGTCTATGGTGTGAGAAGGAGAAGCAGATGATGTCAAACAACTGTCAAGTAAGAATCCTCTTACAGGATGATTGAATCCATGAAAAAATGACTATTTATATTCAAGCTATTTATAGCAGACAGTCATTTATCTTAACAGAATTGAGGAATGAAATCAATTTATAATGCATTTTCAATTGTTTGTGTATGCCCTGCAAAATGACATCAACTCACCACGGTTTAGCTCTCTGTCACCAGAGGGCGCCTGTGCCACAGGAATTGGTTCTGTCTCTGGACCTTGAGGAATTGCAGTCTGGTGATCTGGCAAGGGGTCTTGATAGTCTGTTACTGACTCAAGATCATCTGCAATGGGATCAGGCACAACATCCTGATCCTCAGTCAGTGGGTTGTGCTCATCTGGTATTGTCTCAGGATTTACCATCTCAGGTTCCTGATGGTCAGGATAAGGCCCAAATGAGGTTTCAGGATAGGAAGGCACAACTTCAGGATCTGAATAGCCACCAATTCTGTTGGATGGCATGTGGGGTTGATTCCAGGGGTTTCCTTTGTAGTTGGATTGGCGTGCTGGGCCCTTATATGAAGGCATTGGCCCCTTGAAAGGAACCGGTGGGCCTTTATAAGAAGGTGTACGTCCTTTGAATGCAGGCACTGACCCCTTGAAGGGTGGCATAGGTCCTTTAATGGATGGCTGGGGACCTTTATTAGAGGGCATAGGACCCTTGTGAGATGGCATAGGACCTTTGAATGGGGGCATTGCCTTCATTCCATAGGCTGCAGGTCCAACATTACAACCAACACCAGTGAATCCAGGACAACAGCGCCACTCTAACTCAGTCATGGTCTTGTGTATCACTTTAAACAAAGGCTTGTAGACCATCCGGTACCTAAAAGTGTGGATAGCACAAAATGCAAGTATAAGGGATACATCAAAATACCATTCTGTTTTGTTCCATTGTGTTAGAAGATGTGGTCCTCTGCTATGACATTAATACCTTGTTATTTTTATCTCTTGATGCCATATAGAATCATTGCATAGAAAGAAAACAGTTAATACAATAATAGCTATATTAGCCTTAGTGTAGCCACCATGAAAAACAAACACATCCCAGTCTAACACTGTAATGTTACACTTACTTAAGTGCAGGACACTTCTTCCCCCATGCACACTTGTTGTACTCCGCCTTCACATAAGGGGCCACTCCATCCTGAATAGTGTAGGACACACTCTTCTCCACTACATATGCACAGTGGTTTCTGGAGAGAGAAAGAGGAAAGAAAGAATGAAACAATGCAACCAACTGTTAAGAACTTTTGAGGTGTAGAAACATATCTCAGATTTCTTTTAAAAACTCAAAGCGAGTCTCCCGAAAAGAATAGAAGCTGTAATGAACGCAAAGGGTGCGTTTATATACAATAAATACTGAAAATGTAAAATTATATTTTATTGTTGAGGTTTTATGTACATTTCTGTTAAAATACATTTTCTGCCCTTTTTCCTGATGCTGAAAAATGTCTGTTTTGAGGAAATTAAATAAACGAAGGGCGTCTCTGATGTATACATGTATGTATACTTACTGTTTTACTTACTAGAAGTTCTGTGTCTGTACTTTTGCATTTCACACTGCATTAATGTTTTAACATATTACATTTATATTTTACATCTCTTTCAGTCTTCAATTTGAATCAAAGGAAACTCACAGATCATGAAAATGAGCCAGCAAATGATAAAAAAGAGCTAAACATATACAATTCCTAAGAGATATTTAAAATATAAAATGACAACAAAGCAAACACTTAGGCAAGCAGGCAAAGCACAATGGCCAACTTCCTCCAAAAAAACTATTATGTGTTTTTTAAATACATGTAAGTGACATCCATAAAAATAATGGTTTTCTGACTGCCAGCTATGCATACTGATGAAGACACCAAGGTAGCGTTAATCAGTGCTGACACATTAGATGCATGCCTGAAATAGCCAATTGAATTGAAAAAATGCTCCTAAATGGTTCTTGGTTTAGACATGCAGTTCTTGGAAAAAACAGTATTGATTGATATATAACCTTTAATTTATGTACCTTTACGAATTACTTTTACTTCTCTGCTTTTTTATATCTCATTTGCAAACAGGGTTCTTTAAAGAACCATTCACTGAAAACTTCTTTAGTTCTTCTACAGCATCACTCCAAAGAACCCCTTTCTGGCACCTTTATTTTTAAGAATGTTCACAGCTTTAAGACAATTTCTGCTATTACGTTAATGTAAAAGACTGCTGATACTTACTTGTGTCGGGCAGTGGGTTTCCCAGAGCTGTACTGAGGGCTGGGTCCTGACTTGTAGAGGCTGAAACGATTAGCTTTGGGATTGAAAGCCCCAAAAGCATTCGTCGCAGCTACGCCGGCACTCAGAAAAAAGAGTGGACAGAGGAAATCTGGCCACAGCATCTTCACTGAAGTGAAGTAGTCATCAAAAGTGAAAATCAGAAAACAGAAGAAGCTTGAGTCTTTCTGGATAAGCAAAAGTGCCAAAAGTATAAAAATAATCAAAATCTGTGGTCAGCACTGAGAAAAGTCTTTCAAACTGACACTGCCCCTATCACATCCCTCTTACTCTGCCTTGGTCCTTTAAATAAAATAAAAAGAAAAACACATCATATGCTGGAGAAGAGCTGAAGAAAGCACAAGATCTTTCCAATGATATATGCAGTGTTTTAAGCTTCGTCTTGTTGTGGTGGTATTCTGCAGGCTCCTGGGGTCTGGACACTGATGCCAAAAGCCACCTAATAAAGCCTTGAATGACCGTATTTACATAGACCCGCCCTCTGTGCCACTAAATAGACAGACATGTGGCAGTTTTGAACCTGGCCCATACAGCACAGTGAAAATGTCAGCTTCATTGCTGTGGGAATTGCTGTGAGAACATATAAGATAAAGAGAAATAAGTACACTCTTTAAAAAGACCTTTCAAGGGTTCTTTAGTAAAGGGAATGGTTCTATATAGAACCATAAGTTCAGTATAGAACCATTTAATGCTTAAATGGTTCTTTGCATGGTGAAATGATTCTTCTGATTGATGGAGAATGTGTTGTAAATGGTTCTATATAGAATCTTTTGGAAAATGGTTCTGTATAGCACCATAAAGAGTTCTTCTACTGTTACAGTGTCAAGCCTGTGACAATAGCAGAACCATTTTTGGTGTTCAGGGTTCTATTTTCTTTACTAAAGACACCTTGAAGAACTATCTTTTTTAAGGGTGTAGAGCTCATGGTTCTAAATAGGACCATTCCCTTTACTAAAGAACCTATGGAGAACCATCTTTTTAAGAGTGCAGAATACAGCTAAGGTGAATTGAGAGAGTCTGATGATGAAATAGTATTTAAAATTTTTACATTTAATCTAAAACTTCCAGGCAACATACTATCCCTCTTTCTCCAAAATGGTAACTTTAATGTACAATAATCCACATACTTTTGACCATTTCTATTCCTAAGACTGCAAAAAAATTATATTATAGCAAGTGAAATCCTGCTAAATGAAGTACATCATTTTTTTCTAATTTTTTTATTGTTGTAAGAATATTTTAAGATTATTATAACTTATTCCCTGACATATTTTACTTGTTCTTTACTTTTAAGTAATTTTATGAAAAGTGTTGTGTTCTAGTGGCAGATCATTTTGGTCATTTCAAACAATTACTTGAAACAAGCAAAATTGTCTGCCAATAGAATAAAACAATTTCTGTAGATAAAAGTACTTAAAACAAGTAAAACATCTAGAAATAAATTGAATAACCTCTGAATATTCTTACCACAGTCTGAAAAAACGAGAAATATTAGACACATTGACTACATTTAACATTCACTTGCTAAGATATAATTTTGGCAGTGAATGTAAAAGGCAGCTGCTCTTTCAAATGGAGTAACAAATAAACTGCAGTCAATAATGGAGTTATGATGTTTTAAGATGATGGCCACAATATGCTTCTTTACTGCATTGAGGTGTACAGTGTAGTGGACTGTGACTGGGGTCAGGAATGTCAGCAGCCTATATCACAGCAATGAGAACATATGGACTCTCACACAAACAGCCACACTGACACAGACGTGTGGAATAAACACACTTTAACTCAGATAAATACGGCTACTTAAAGTGTAAATAACGACAATTACCTGATAAGATCAAAATAGCTATAATGAAAAAAAACACAGGAGAAGCAGGAAAGATGATGAGATATGAGATAACGCAAGCATAATGTTGACCATTTACTCTTGTTTGTGCAAGCAATGACTCATTACACACAGTCCTATGCGAGACTGAAGGGTTGATTTTCTAAGTACGAATAGGTTAACACATCCTCTTCAGAGAACAAATATAAATATAACATTTTTCAGCAAATTTTGTGCACAATTTCTATTTATTTGAGGAGTTTAATATATTGGACATATTGTCACTGTCCAATGAAAAACATCTCCATTTTTTGCAATTTTTACTTTTCTGCATCATTTGAGCTCAGCAGCTGTCCTTTACATTGTGTGAAAAATTCATGATGATTGGACCAATAGAAATGCTCCAAAATTGCTTACAATAAAATCTCTTTCTATTAACTTAATTGAAAGTAAAGAAAATTTTTGCTCTCTCCTGTAAAGTTACTATTTTGGAGATACATGTTTTTGTTTGGACAGCGACGATATATAAAATGTACCACATTCATGTTTTCCCATGGTGTTCAATTGAGCAAATAAACAGTAATTGTGCTAAATTGTGCTAGTAAAATGTGTAGGCGTGTGGTCTCTGTAGAGGATGTGTTAACTTTTTTAAATTAGAAAATCAATTTGACCAGGAGTGCCCACACTTCTGCATACAACTGTATAATACTGTGTCTTAGGTACTTCAATAATTATTCAAACCATTTAATAATTGCTTGTATTGATAGAGCTAAACCAGGTATTGGATGATAACACACTGGCAGAAATGAAATCAGGGATGGATTACTGACTGGGCCAGTGGAGCCAGTGCCCAGTGGTCTGTGACTGTAATGGGCCTCGGGGAGACCTCAGACCACAAGGTCAGAGGGGGCTCAATACTTGCGAATCCCCTGGAAATATGAGCATTAGATGAACAGTCATTGAATATGTACCAATGAAGACTAAAAAATGAAGTGAACAAAAATGTTACTTTCTCTCAGGCCCCTTCAGTTTTACATTATTATTGACATATTGTTCTTGTCATTCAAATGGTATGGTTTAGATGCCACCTAGGACCACTGCTGTTTTTGCATTATGACTCATTGTTAAAAGAAAAAGAGAAGAAAAAAGCTCAAAACTGTGACTGCAAGACTATGCAAGACCATGATCCATCCTTGTATAAAATCACTACTTATTGTATTAATTATATTTGTATTTATTCGAATTATAGTGTTTTTCTGAGCAAACAATCTTTTCAAGTATAATTTTCTCAAGTGACTAAAACTTTTGCACAGCACTTTATGTCTTTAAATATAATGTATTAGTGTGTTTTTTCTGAGATTGCACCCATTAAATGTGATTTTAATTGCCTTCTTAGTTATGGTTTTGCTTGTGGTTGTGAATGTAATCAAATTTTGAACACTTGGACCACATCTGGGAGAAAGTGAGAAAACAAAACACTCCCTCTAGCTCACACATACATTCAGTGTACACCTCAGTAAACCACACACACACACACACACACACACACACACACACACTCAATCACTCACTCACACAGTAGGCAAACACCCATCCACCTCATACCCTCCCCCTGCAAACCTTCAGGCTAAAACACAACACATGTCTTTGTTTAGTTGCAGTGGCTAATAAGTTGACAGTGTTTACCTTGTTTCCAAAAGCTACACTGTTCTGAAGCAGAGCTCCAACAGCTCTCTGCCCAGGCCTCCATTCTGACTGCAGCCTTATGGGGAAAAGTGCTCAGGCTTTTCAGTGAGAAATACAAATGGATCATGTTGCACAAATGTAAACAAGTCTGTAGTTACTATAAAGGTAAAACAGCATGTTCAGCATGTTTGCTTCAGCACCTGCCCATTGGCTTCTATTATAAAAGAGTTTTGCCTCAATGAGTTTTCTGTTCTTTTCTAACTACAAATGTGTTAAAATTGTTGTCGGTGGTAACTGATCCTATGCTATATGTGCGGGAGATAGACAATGGGTTGAAAAGGGCTGGAGTATTCCTTTAATGGAACTGGTGCATTTCAGACTTTTCATGTGCACAATTCATGAATCATGAAAATAATTACAAAGGACTAGTTTCCCAGACCCAGATTAAGGCAAAGCCAAGAGTAAGAAGAACGTCCAGTGTTGATTCACCATTTGCACTGCAACTTAGTTTATGACTAGGCTTAATCAATGTCCAGGAAAACAGCCCAAATGGATTTTAAAATATCAATTTCTCTGATTTTTTGCAATCTTCAAGCCATTATAAGGACACATAAGAGTTAATTTGAACTGACATTTGTGCTTATGCTTAATAAATTGAATGAAAAAAGTCTGCAGTAATTCTAGCAGTTATTTTAAATGTGACGTATCTCAATGAATTATGAAGGATTAATTATGACGTGAAGTCCCAAGAGAGCCATCAGTATTATTTACTTCAGTAGTGAATTAGTTGGGACTTGAATGAGATGCATTTGTATCCATATCGACCAAATCAATTTTGCAAGGTTTTAGTTTGTCCATTACTAATTAGCTTTAAATCAAAGGATCATTAATAGTTTTTGGCTTAAACATGTGGCTCCAGGTTTAAAGAACCCTTCACAGCAGACGCTCTTATTCAGAGTGACTTACAATTAATCTAGTCATAGAACTATGTGAATGTACCTTTAGGAGTCTTGCCCAAGGAATCTCAAGGCCACGTTGTGTCGCGCAACATCCAAAAAATCGAAACCATTGTTTTTAATGCAGGTATACACACCAGTGCCGGTGCTCCATGACTCCAGTTCATCTCAGTGCGTCACAGTGTGCCACTCAGCATTTGCCCTTACTATGTTCTTAGAAAAGATGGTTCATTAAGGGTTCTTTGGTAAAGACAATGATTCTACGTAGAACATGAACACTCAAAGAACCATTTGCATGCTTAAAGGGTTCTTTGCATGGTGAAATCGTTGTTCAGATTGATGGAGAATGTGTTTTATATGATTCTGTATAGCACCTTTTTTAAAATGGTTCTATATAGCACCAAAAATGGTTTTTCTGTTGTGACAAGCTTGAAATCGTAACAATAGCAGAACCCATTTTCAAAAAGGTTCTACTATTGTTATAACGTCAAGCTTGTCAAAATAGAAGAACCCTTTTTGGTGCTATATAGAACTCTATAAAAACCCATATACAACACATTCTCCATCAATCTAAAGAACCATTTCACAAAGCAAACAACCCTTTAAGCATGCAAATGGTTCATTAAGTGTTCATACTTCTATATAGAACCACTGTCTTTACTAAAGAACTCTTGAAGAACCATCTTTTTTAAGAGTGTGCATTAAATTAAAGCCATGTTGAGACTACAAGAAGTCATAGCAGGTCACATGTGGCTTGAAATTTACACAGAGAGAGGTAGGCAGTCTTTTAGGTAAACAGACAGATGCTAGTGGTAAGTTACCTCCGCTAATGTTACTATCCTAGTCTTTTTCAACTCATGTCTTTCAGCTTGAAAATAGCCAGTGAAAACTTTATTTCATCCAATTTATATGAGTAAAGTGTAGAAATGAACTTAAATCTGGGGTTTATCAGTTCTCCCTCCCAGCTAGAGCAGCATTCTGCTTCATGATGCTATGCTATGGGATGCATTCGGTTTGCGATGGCCTTTATTGGTGTCCAGGTGGAGTACTGAACTCAAGTACTACTTCATGGAGGGCAGCAGTGTTGCCCACTATAGCAACTGCAAAAGCTTAAGTGAATGAGCTTGAAAAAACTTATTCCAAATATTCAGCCAAGACATGTTTGATGTCCAAATTCTGCTTCTTTTGTTT